TGTGTGTGTGTGTGTGTGTGTGTGTGCGTGTGAGAGAGAGAGAGAGAGAGAGACTCTTTCATAAAACTATGAAAAAAAGCAAACTTCAAAACTTAATCTCTACTGCATTTAGTTTCTAGTGAGAATCCACTTAATTTGCTATACTTACCTCTCTGACAAGTCATGCTATCTGTAAAACTCTTTTCCAGCAATACATTTCCAACAAGTGAAATGTGTGTATACACTTTATGTAGTGTATAAAATGTGTATTAAAAGTCTGCACTCCTATATATAGCTGCTTTTCTGAGGGTGATTTACTTTGGAGTTAACAAGTCCAGGATTTCAATGTACTTAAGCTTTATAAATGTTGTTGTTGTTTAGTTGTTAAGTCGTGTCCTACTCTTTGTGACCCCATGGACCAGAGCATGCCAGGCCCTCCTGTATTCCACTGCCTCCCAGAGTTCAGTCAAAAATTTTGGTACTTTCGTTGATACTGTCCAACCATCTCATCCTCTGTTGTCCCCTTCTCCTCTTGCCCTCACACTTTCCCAACATCAGGGTCATTTCCAGGGAGTCTTTTCTTCTCATGAGATGGCTAAAGTATTGGAGCCTCAGCTTCAGGATCTGTCCTTCCAATGAGCACTCAGGGTTGATTTCCTTCAGAATGGATAGGTTTCTTCTCCTTGCAGTCCAGGGAACTCTCAAGAGTCTCTTCCAGCACCACAATTCAAAAGCATCAATTCTTCGGCGGTCAGCCTTCTTTATGGTCCAGCTCTCACTTCCATACATGGCTACTGGAAAAACTATAGCTTTGACTATGTGGACTTTTGTCGGCAAGGTGACGTCTCTGATTTTTAAGGTGCTGTTGAGGTTTGTCATCGCTTTCCACTCAAGAAGCAGGTGTCTTTTAATTTACTGGCTGCTGTCACCATCTGCAGTGATCATGGAGCCCAAAAAATTAAATCTGTCACTGCCTCCATATCTTCCTCTTCTATTTGCCAGGAGGTGATGGGACCAGTGGCCATTCTCTTAGTTTGTTTTCTTTTTTTATGTTGAGTTTCAGACCATTTTTGATGCTCTACTCTTTCACCCACATTAAGAGTTTCTTTAAGTCCTCCTCACTTTCTGCTATCAGAGTGGTATCATCTGCATATCTAAGGTTGTTGATATTTCTTCCAGCAATCTTAGATTCATCCACTCCAGCCTTTCGCATGATGTATTCTGCATATAAATTAAATAAGCAGGGAGACAATATACAGCCTGGTCGTATTCCTTTCCCAATTTTGAACCAATCAGTGTTTCCATATCCAGTTCTAACTGTGGCTTCCTGTCCCACATATATATTTCTCAGGAGATAGATAAGGTGGTCAGTCACTCCCATTTCTTTAAGGACTTGCCATAGTTTGTTGTGGTCAACACAGTCAAAAGCTTTTGTGTAGTCAATGAAACAGAAGTAGATGTTTTTTCTGGAACTCTCTGGCTTTCTCCATAATCCAGCACATGTTAGCAATTTGGTCTCTAGTTCCTCTGCCCCTTCGAAGTCCAGCTTGTACTTCTGGGAGTTCTCAATCCACAGATTCGTGAAGTCTACGTTGGAGAATTTTGAGCATAACCTTGTTAGTGTGTGAAATTAGTGCAATTGTAAGGTAGTTGGAGCATTCTTTGGCACTGCCCTTCTTTGGAATTGGGATGTAAACTGATCTTTTCCAATCATCTGGCCACTTCTGAGTTTTCCATTGATGATGATAAAAAAAATAGTGCACTGGTCCTTTGATGTTGGGCTGTGGCACCAGGGTGGGTGATATGACCTTTAGCCTGGTTTGTTTCTTTTTGCACGCCACAGATAGAATGATTAAGGTGGTAGGAAAAGCCCCCCCCCCAACTCTGAGTTGGCTGTCTCTAGCAAGCACGTCATTGCTAGCATCCCTCTGACAGCCATTGATGATGATTAAATCCTCTGTGAGCTAGCAAAAATTTAATGCAACTTGCTAGGCACGTTGGACACCTTACTACTTCCTATACCACCCTATGGCTGGTGTGCAATGTGTTCCAGCAAAACTAGTGCACATCTTGTTTAAATTTGGTGCATCCTGCTAGTTCAGTACACAGCCTGTGTAGATTCAATAAGATTTTGAATTCAAATCATGTATCATGTCCTTCCTTTCAAATCAAGGGGTAATGTCAGCGTATATAAAATGGGGGGTGGGTGGGTTAAGAGGTAAAAAAGTTCCCTGACCTCTGTTCTAGGAAGACACCTTTATTCTCTGACTTCATTTAAGAGAGTCGCAAATTATCAAGCCGCCATGGGGGCATATCATTGTCAATTCTGGAATCGTCTTCTCCCAATACTCCAGGCAGCCTGAGGAATCTAAGTCGGAAGCACTCAGTGTTCATCTTGAGGCTTCCAATCTAGCAAAACAGCAACTCATAGCATCCAGACACACTGCAGATGCAGCCTCCAAAGCCATGGCCACTTCCATCACCTTATGACACCATGCCTGGCTTAGATCAACAGGAGTATCAGATGATACAAACTCCCGCATCGAGGAACTCCCGTTCAATGGCACTGGTCTGTTTAATGAGAAGACAGATGAAGTTATGGACAACCTCCATAAAATACACAAGACTGCCACATCTTATGCCACACAGCAGCCCTACCAATACCAATGTCCACAACGGCGAAGACAACCCTTTGTACACCAGCCTTTTCAGCAACAGTACAAACCATACCAACAGCAAACTTCTGACA